CGCCGCTGGACACGCAGCCGCTGAGCCCGCTGGGTCAGCTGGTCGCCAGGCCCGGGTCTGCCGCCGACTCCAGCAGCGTCGCTGACAGGATGCCCCTGGCAGCCGTGCGGGCTGCGCAGCGCGCAGCATGCGCCGATGGCCTCTCCCCCAAGGGACGCGGCCGCGGCCGCGGCAGGGGCGGCGGCGGCGCCGGCAGGGGCGGCCGGCCGGCAGCCGCCAAAGCCGCCAGCAGCAAAGTCGCCGCCAAGGCTAGTGCCAAGGCCAGGCGACTGGCCCAAGGACCAGGAGGAGACTGCCAGTTCTGCAAGCGCAGCCGCGACCACGAGAACCCGATGCCAGTCAAGTACCCGGGCGTCGCCAGGCTGCCTTTCATCTCCGATTCCGTCAACACGTGCCTCCCATGCAAGAACTACACGGGCTGCGCCTGGAAGGGAAAGAAAATAGATGACTTGAAGAACCACCTCGACGCACCAGAGAACCAGGCCGCCTACAACGATGGCCTTGCGCACTACGAGTCGAAGGCGAACGTGGACGGTCGGGCACCGCAAGGGATTCCCAAGCTTGGTTTCACCGAGACGGTCAAGTCGGCGCAAGTGTCTGGCGTGAAGTGCACGCAGCCCTTGGGGGTGCACTGGCCCGTCGACGTGTGGGAGAAGCACTTCGCGAGGAAGGCGCACAACATCACCGAGCTTGAGATGGAAGACGGTTCCTCGCGGCCAGGCGTCATTGTGTCAGACTCGACTGCGCCGTTCCCCGAGGGTGGCGTCTACGTCAACAAATACTGGGAAAAGAAAGCAGAGCGTGAGGCTACGCACGAGACGGACGCACCCGAACTCAGGGCAGGACAGAAGAAGGATACTTACCAGTCGTTGTCAAAGAAACTCGCGGGGGTGTCGTTGGCCCCGAACGAGTTCGACGACCAGGACGAGCGGGCGGTCAAGCTGAAGCCCGGTGCTGGCGCGCCCCCAAAGAAGAAGAAAGCTCCCCACCAGCATGGCGGGCCTTTGGGGCTCAGTGATGAATCTGCTGATTCGGCAGACTACTTGGGCGCGGTGCTGCGGCCGAAGAAGCAGCCGCGGCGCACTGGCACTGGCGCTGGCGCAGCGTCGGCTGCCGGGGCAGGAGGAGGCGACGGAGACGACGGCTGCGAGGCAGAGCACGTTGAGGACGTCGATGCGCAGGGTCCCCCGTCAAAGAGGAGGCGGAAGTCGCAGGGTCAGGATGCGGGCGCGGGTCCGAGGGAGTCTAAGCAGCATCTGAAGGCCGTGCTCGCCCAGTACAGAGACATCGAACTCACCAGCGCCGTTCGTGATGGTGCCAAGGATGTGAGTCGACGGTCTCTGCTTGGGATGCCCTCATCAAGAAGCTCGACATGAAGTGCGCCACTGAGTCGGTCGCGATGCTTTGCGCCTCGCACCCCAGCATGATGTTCACCCCCAAGGGCTCGGACACCCCTGTCAACTCAGGTTCGCTGAGTGAATGGGGATTGGACTTGGTGGGCGAGCTGCAGACTCTCCTGCCGCAGGTACAACTCGGGCGAGCTGTTGCGAGGGCCATGGCGGCGGTGAGAACCCCAGCCAGCGGCAAGAAGGGCGCGGCCGCCAAGGCTGGATCCTCCGGATCAGCCCCTGCTTCCTGCCTCCACGACGCTGTCATGGAGCCACCGCCGCCGCCGTCGCCGCCGCCGCCGTTGGGCACTGGGGCTGGCCCTCGGGGGCTCGTCTCGTCGCCGCGGCTGGACGATGCTCGAAACCGCGTTGTGCTTTTTAAGGAAGCGGTCTGGGTGCCACTCGAAAACGTCAGCATGAGTTCTAAGACACCTGTAGGGGTCTGCTGTCGGTCTGTTCCCCTGGGATTCCCTTGTCGCCGTCGGCCCCGGGCCCGCCCTTGTTGATCCGAAACTGTCGCCGCCGCGGCTGGCGACCAGCCGTCTCCCCAGGGACCCAGGTGCATCGTGGCCGCATCAGTACACAGTACACCTAAGGCGCCTACTCCAGCCCCCCCCCTCCCCCTCCCGCCTGCCCTCCCTCCTCCCTCCTTCTCCGCCTCCTCCTCCTCCTCCTCCTCCTCCTCCTCCTCCTCCTCCTCCCCCTCCCCCTCGACTTCCCCCTCCTGGTTTCCAGCGGCGAGGGCCGCGTTTCGTTTGGCGCCCTTGTTCCAGCCCCGAGGACGCAACGGCGAACGGCCTTGCGATCGGCGCCGTTGTGTACGCGGAGATTTCCAAGCGCGCTCTGGCCGATTGCGTTGCGGAGAAGAACTTCGTCAAGTACGCTGCCTTGTTGTCCACAGAGGATGAGAACGGGGAGCTGAAGAAGGCTTATGGTGACCACATGGGGCTCTGGTCTGCCAAACTCGATCCCGCCCAGCTCGCCGAGGCGCAGGCTCAGCGCGTCATCGGCGACGTCAGGGACATGCTGAGGGAGAATTGCGTCGCTGAGATGACTGAGCTCGTCACCAAGATCATCGAGCGCCCCGGCGTGCTGCTGGATGAGCCGACGAGGGTGGAGATCGGGCATTTGGGCGCGCTGTTGACAGCCAGCGCGAGCTCTGGCGCCAAGATCATGGAGGCGAAGGCGTTCTTCGATTCCAAGACCGCGCAGCTTCACAAAGGCACGGCTTGGGGATTGCACCTCCAGGCCGACATGCCGCTCTGCGGCGCCGTGCTTCGATCGAGCAGGGCGGGGCTGAAGCGAAGTGGCTGGATTGCGGACTTCTGGCATTCGTTCAGCCCTGTCTAGCCATTCGTAAGCACGATGCCTTCGTGGCCCGGTGTCCTGGGGGTTCAATCCCCGCGTGAAGGCATGGCCATCTTACCGGCGGGCAAGAAAATCATCGGGGCCGTTGCCCGCGTCCTCAAGGAGATTGAGGCCGACAAGCGCTCGCGCGACCTCGTGCCTGACAAGCTGAAGATGCTCGTGGACTGCCTCGGCCCGGACGCCCTGGATGCCTTCCTGCATCCCGCCGCTGCCACGTGGAAGGACCGCCGGGGCGGATGGGGGGGGGGGGGGGCCTGAGCGGAGGAGGGGGAGGAGGGGGAGTATGTTGGAGGAGGAGAAGGAGGCGGAGGAGGAGCAGGAGACAGACTTCTCTACTACTGAGGGCCTCACGTACGTTTCGTCTCGTCGGCCTCAGTCTGAGGCCCGGGCCGACGAGACGAAACGTGCGTGATGGGCATCTTGCGATCTCCCAGGAGCTCGTGGATCTGGCTGGGCGGGCTGCTGTTCTGTACCGGGACTGGGAAGCTAGCTTCGTTGAGGTATCGGATGATTTCGTGGAGGAGTTTCAACGCCAAATTGACTCGGCTTACGCGATGTTTCATGATGTGCTTCGGCGCCTTGGCATGACCATCGACTTTTGGGCCTTGAGGGCGCTGCGCGAGGTGCTTATGCTGGTGAAGGTACACATTGAGAGCGATGGAGACGTAGCCGATCTGCGCGAGGCTGCTTTGGCGGCAATTACTAAGTATGAGCATAGCCCGGTGGTGATATGTTTGTCGAAGGGCAGCGCCTTTATTGGTTGCCACGTCATGATGGGCGAGAAGGACATGGCGGATTGGGACTCAAATCGCAACAGTATCTTTGACATTGGACAGCTGGCGGTGAGATGCGTGAGACACCTTCTCAACTCGGACCGCGCTGGGAACATTCGCACGGTGATCTCCAAAATTTACGCGGATCCAGAGTTCTTCGGCATCGTGGGCGCCATCTCCAGCATGAAGGCGACCCTCAAGTCATTGGCGCAGCTCTTCAAGGATCGCCCCTCGACCAAGGATCTTGTGGACTCGCGCATGTCGCAGGACCTCACCCAGCTCAGCATCGGCATCCACAACGTCGTTGCCCTGTCTATCATCGCGATGTCGGACAAGGGCGAGCTCAGTGCGATCTGCAAACTGTTCGATAAGTGCTCGCCAGAGTTTCCTGTGTCTGATTTTGGGAGTGAGCTGACAGCTGACGGTTCTATCGACTCCGAGAAGCTGGCCTTCCTCAAGCGCCAGACGAACGCGGTGATGATGCAGTACACCGAATTTACTGGTGTTAGCGGCGCCAAGACTGGCGCTTGGCAAATTATAAAGCAACGCCTCCTCGCTTCCCCAGCCCCCATCCCTCCTGAGCCGCCGACCGACCCTCGACCCCCCCCCCGAACTCAACTGCTCAGACGGGCCAGGGATCATCTCTGGGGCCGGCCCCAGGGCTCGGGCTCGGGGGCCCCCGACGGCCCGATGGGGTTTGGATTTATTGCGCGTTCCCCGGGTGGGGGTGGGGGGAGGGGGAGGGGGTCGGGGCCTGGCGCGACCTGGACATGAAGGGGCATCGGAATGAGGCGGGAGGCTGATGGGCCAGGCGCGGGAGAGAGGGGGGAGGGCGACTCAGGAGGAGGAGTGAAAATTGGGAAAGGAGGGGGATGAGGGCGAGGGGGGGGGGGGGCGGCGATGAGCTCGGACAGATGACAGGAGGAGATGGTACGTGGGGCGGCAGAGGAGGAGGAGGGAGTAGGAGGCGGAGGAGGAGGGTGAGGCGGAGGCGGAATGATGAAGGAGGTCGAGGAGCTGAGGAGAGTGAGAGCTCTTCCGCCTCGTCCTCCTCGTTCTCCTCATCCCCCCTGTGCTCCGCCCTCATCATCCGCCCCCCCCCCCCTCCCCCTCAGCCTCCTCCCCTCGCCTCGCCCGCCAACTCGTCCACCGCCCACCTCTGGCTCTCCTCCTCGCTCCTCGCCCCCCCCGCACCACCCACCGGGCCCCCGGGGCCACAGGCCTCGCCCCGCCACTCGGCAGGGCAAATTCATGATCCAGGAAACCATCCGGAGCGGACGCGAATCGCGCTGAATCGCAAAAATCATTTGCTGGCCGAAGGGGCCCAATGGCGCCCCCACGACCCAAGCGGGCCCCAGGGGGGTCCCGCTCAGGGCTCTGCAGAGCCTTCAACTAGAGCACAGCTGGTGTTTTCCGCTCAAGGATGATGGCGATGAGGGTGGAGGAGTTCCCGGACCCCCGACCCGACAAGGCTGGCCCGCCCCGGCGGTGGCGGCCTCGCTCGCCGTCTTCGACGCGCTGGTGTCGGAGGCGAGCGCCCGGCAGCACATCTCAGCCTGCGCGTTCAAGGACATTGCAGAGGCCGGGGCGCTCGTGCTCAGGTTGGGCGGGCTGCAAGGGAAGTCAGCTGGATTAGGCCCGAATCTACTGGATTAGGGTGGCGAGGGGCCCCGCGGAGATGAAACTGAAACCGAACCAGAGGAGAGGGGGGCGGAGTGGGCGAGTTGGATCTTCGGGAACCTCGGACTCGTCAACCATCTCCCTGCTCCTCTTCCCCCTTCCTTTTCCTCCCTTCCTCTCGCTCATCCCTCATCGTCCTATCCCCAGGCCAGGCCTTCATCCCCCCTTTTCTTTGTCCTGCCCCCCCTCCCCTCCCGGGCCGCTCCGGGGCGAGGAGGCAGGGTGGGTCTTGGAAGCCGCCGCCGCCGCCTGGGGCCCAGCCCCAGCGGTCGGGGGGCTTCTAAGAAACACGCCACCTTCTGAAACGCCTTGCCCCGCGCGCGCCCTGCAGCGGGCCCCCCATGAAGGCTCCGTGACTTGACGACTCCTCTCGCCGCCAAGCTGCGGTCGGACGCAGCCGCGCTGTCCCCGTCGCCCGCGGGTAAGAAGCTCGTGGAGGCCGCGCCGCACCTGGAGACCAAGCCCGTGGCTGTGGCAGACGTGCTTTTCACCCGGGTCGAGAAGCAGTTCGCCGCTTTCGCCGACGAGGTGGATAAGCTGGTGGCGGACCCGACTCTGCCGGGCTCGAGCGACATGTTGCTGACTGCGCTGGGCGCCGGCGACGCGGTCACAGACGCCGCCAAGAGAGAGTTGCTGGCCGCCACCCAGAGCAAGCTCGACAAAAAGCTGTGGCGCAGGCACATCACCCACGGGGAGATGTCCAAGGTGCTGGGTGGCCTGGACGCGGTTTTCTGCGGCGGCGATGACGTCGCCATCGAGTGGGATCGGCGGCGCGAGTCGATCGCCGCCATGTGCGGCGAAGCGGTCCAGAAGATGCGCAACCGCGTGGCGATCAACATTGCCATCAACGCGCTCTACAAGGTGCTGCCGCACGGGCACGTCCGCGCTTCGCAGACGGCGGCGGCGCGCGCCGACATCGAGGGCATGGGCGCGGTCATCCCCGACCTGGTCGCGCTGGCGCTCGGCGGCTGCGGCGGCAGCGCCACGCCGCCGGCGCCGCCGCCGGCGGAGGAGGTGGAGGAGGCGGCAGCCGCCTCCTCATTGGGGTTGGGAGGAGGAGGAGGAGGAGGAGGAGGAGGTGGAGGGAGGAGGAGGAGGAGGAAGGAGGGGGAGGAGGGAGATGAGGAGAGGAGGTGGAGGAGGAGGAGAAGAGAGGACGGAGAGACGGAGGGGGACGGAGGAACGAGGATGAGATGAGGAGCAAGAGGAGGAGGGGGGGGGTACGAGGAGGTCGAGGAGCGGAAGCAGGGAGGAGGTGTTTGGAGGAGGGAGGAGGTGTAGGAGGAGGAGGAGGAGGAGGAAAGAGGAGGAGGAGGAGAGGAGGAGGGGGAGGAGGAGATGTGAAGAGGGGGGGGAGCCCGATCTCCAACCTGAGGAGGAGCCCAGGGAGAAACCTAACGAGGCCGGCCGAGGCCGAGAAGGACTGAACACTGAAGACTGACGAGGGGGGAATGCTACAGGCCCAGGGACGTCAGCCCACGGACGAACAAAAATGAAGACTAGTGGGACTCCCAACCCCAATGAGTGTTCAATCCGCCTCACCAACTCCTCCTCCTCTCCTCCTCCTCCTCCTATCCTCCTCCGCTCCGATCCTCCTCCTCCTCCTCCTCCTCCTTCTCCTCCCCCCCCCCGCTCCTCCTCCCCCCCCCCCTCCTCCTCCCTCCTCCTCCTCCTCCTCCTCCTCCTCCTCCTCCTCCTCCTCCTCCTCCTCCTCCTCCCTCCTCCTCCTCCTCCTCCTCCTCACTCCTCCTCCTCCTCTTCCGGCCGTCCGCAACTCGTGCGCCTCCCTCCCCGCTCCGACTCTCCCCGCCCGACCTCCGTGTCCGCCATCTCCCCCCCCCCCCCCATGTGGCCTTCCTTCCCGTCTGGCCTCCACGGAGGCCGCTGGCGCGGCGGGCGGCCGCTAGGTTGGCTGGCAGCCGCTAGGCCGGGCTCGAGCCGGCGCGGCGCCCGGGGCCCTGGCCCGGCCCCGGGCCGGACGACAGGGAGGGGTATAGGAAACGGGTGGGTTACGAACTCCCCAGACCCCCTCGAGTCATGAAAAAATCATGACGCGAGGTTTTTCGCTATTTTCGGCCTCTGGGGACCCTTGCCGGCCCTCGGGACCGTCAAACAACGTCTTGGGATGCAAAACTGGTCCCGGGGAGTGGGTCTGGACTTGTGGGGGTCGCGTCATGAAAAAATCATCTCGTCGAGGGTCTGGGTCTGCTGGCTGCGCGCAGCAGGTTTCGGCCCCGCCGCTGGGCCCGTTCTTCGATGCATGGCCGCCTCGGGCGGTCTGGCGCTGGGGGGCGCCAGGAAAATTAACTTTTTACGTGAGCTGATTCGCGACCCCCCCCCCTTGCTATCCCCTCCGTTCGCCCAGCTCGGCCCTGTGCCTGTGCCCGCGCGGCCCGCGCGCTCTGGACCCCGGGCCCTGGGCCCCGGGCAGGTGACCAGGTGGGAAGGTCTGGCCGGCCAAAATGCCTTTGGGACCCTTGCCCCATCCATTGCCCGGGTCTCCTCCTCTTCCTACTCCTTCTCCTCCTCCTCCTCCTCCTCCTCCTCCCTCCTCCTCCTATCCTCCTCCTCCTCTCCTCCTCCTCCTCCCCCTCCTCATTTTCCCCCCCCCCCTCCTCCTCCTCCTCCTCCTCCTCCTCCTCCTCCTCCTCCTCCTGCTCCTCCCCCTCCTCCTCCTCCTCCCCCCCTTTCCTCCTCCTCCTCCTCCCCTCTCTTCCTCCGCCTCCTCCTCCCCCTCCTCCTCCTTCTCCTTCTGCGTCTCCTCCCTCTTCCCCCCCTCCTCCGCCTCCTCCTCCCCTCCTCCTCCTCCTCCGCCTCCGCTTTTCCCCCTCCCTCCTCCTCCTCCTCCTCCTCCTCCTCCTGCTTCTGCGCTCCTCCTCTTCCTCTTGCCCCTCCTCCTCCTCCTCCTCCTCCTTCTCCTCCTCCTCCTCCTCCTCCTCCTCCTCCTCCTCCTCCTCCTCCCCCTCCTCCCCCCCCCCTCCTTCGCCCCGGCCCAGGCCATCCCACTTTTGGTCTTCATTTTGAGAACGAGAGGGGGGGGCCCGGAGAGACGGCGCCCGGAGGGGGGCGAGGGGGCCCTTCCGCTCTCGAGGAGGAGACGGACGACGAGGAAGAGGAGGAGGAGGAGGAGGAGGAGGAGGACGAGGAGGAGGACGAGGAGAGGTCCGACCACCCACGTCTGGACACTGGGCCAGCGGGCCGGGGTCTGCCTGCATGCCGCAACGCTGCGCATTTTGCCAGCGTCGCCGGCCGCCGCCGCGCCCCCCAGCTCGCTCCCAGCTCCCAGCTCCGGCCCCTGAAGGCATCCATCGGAGGGGGTGAGACAGGGGTGCCTTCTGTGTGGTTTGCCTTTTTTTGAATGTGGTGCCTTCTGGGCGCGGCGTTATGAACCAGTGGGTTTGGACCCGGGCCAAGGGGGGGTCTTCTGGAGATTGATGTTTGGCATGTGGTGATTTGGTCACTGTTGTCTCACCTCCGTTGTCTCATCCTCCTCCTCCTCCTCCCCAACTTGGCGGTGGCGGCGCAATTAACGCGCGCGGTGGGGGCTCCCGCGCCCAGGCCCTGGCCACAACCTCGCCCCCGCCCAGTCCAGCCCCCCCCTCCCCCCCTCCCGGGCGGGCTCCCTGGGGCCCTGGGGCGGGGCCATGCCCCCTCCAGTCCGACGCGAGTAGGCCGGGTCTCTCGACCTACTAACTGTTGGGGGGGGGCCCCCCCCCCCCCCCCCCCCCGCCCCTCAGGGCAAGTTCGATGCTTCAAGCCCCCGCCGCGATGTTTTCGATGGTTGCGTGGAGGCTGGCTGCTCTGGCTGCCCGCTTCAGTCCCCGCTCGCGCGTGCGGGTTGCCGGCGGGACTGGCCCAAGATGTACAAGACGCGGCGTGCCCGATGTTGCAGATGCCATCTGCCAGCGTCATCGTCACTGCCGTCGCCCTCGGCGCCGTCGGGCCTCTTCCTCCTCCTCCTCCTCCTCTTCCTCCTCCTCCTCCTCCTCCTCCTCCTCCCCCTCCTTGCCCTCCTCCACAATTGCGTTCGATGTGCAGACTGCCCACTCCCCTCCCGGGTATCCTGATGTTGTCCAGAAGGTGCACGTCGCCCGCCGCGCATTGCTTTTCGTGCGGTTCATCCCAAATGATGCTCCCGCTGCAGCGCTGGCCTCATTATCAGGCCTCCGCTCGGTCCGAATCCCCCCCCCCTGCGCGCGGGGGTGTCAAGTAAGCTGGTAGGAGTCATGAATACTTCTCGCACCGTCGCCGTCGCCGGCACAAATCGATGTCAGGCAGTTTTTCCGTGCCCAAACTCATAGATGCGAGGCCCGCGCTATTGGATTTGGGGAAGTTTTTCGCACCCGAACTCGTAGATTTGAGGCCCAAGCTGCGCCCTTCGCGCCCAAACTAATAGATGTGAGGCCCGAGCTAATATATTCGGGGAGGGTTTTCCGCGCCCGAGCTAGCCTTTCGGGGGCACCAACACGACGACCTAGATCCTAGTTCGCCGTTACGTGGGCGTTCCCGGTGTAGCAGAAGGGCTACCAGAACTATAGTTCGCCGTTTGGCGGGCGTTCTCGGGGTAGCACAATGGCGAACTAGGATCTAGTTCGCCGTTCTGGCGGCCTTTCGGGGGTACCATAATGACAAACTAGATCCTAGTTCGCCGTTCTTTGGGTTCTCTCGGGCCGGGGCACCCAGAGGGCGAACTCGAATCTAGTTCGCCGTTCTGGCGGCCTTCCAGGGGCGGACTCGATTCTAGTTCGCCGTTTTGCCGGCGTTCTCGGGGCACTGGCGGCTTTCGGGGGACACCATAATGGCGAACGAGATTCTAGTTAGCCGTTCTGTGAGCGTCTTCGGGGTGCCAGGAAGGCGAACTAGAAACCAGTTTGCCGTTCTGGCGGCTTTCTGGGGGCACCAGAAGGACGACCTAGAATCGAGTTTGCCGTTCCGGGGCCTTCAGCGGACTCTTGCGGGGCACCAGAGAGGCGAACTAGGGCGATCTATTATTCGTCGTCGTCGTCGCCGTCGGCGACCTAGCATTCTCGTTTTCCCGTCGGCGTCCGCGGCGTCGTCGTTGTCGTCGACCTCAGGACTCAGGACCGCGGCCCCGTGGGTGGGCGGAAGCGCCGGCTCCCCCGCTTGAAAGGTGGATAGGGAGAGGGGGCGAGGACGAGGCCCGGGCCCCCAGGCTGCCGCGCCCAAACTTTTAGAGTTGAGGCCCAGCCCAAGCTACTCGATTTGGATAGGCGCGTTCGCGCCCGTAGCGCCCTCGCAGATTTGAGGGGCCCAACCGAGTTGATTCTGGTGTGGTTTCGCGCACCTAAACTAGTAGATTTAGGTGGGTTTTTCAAATCTACTATAGTAGAGTAGAGTTGAGGCCCAAGCCGGTAGATTTTGGGGTGGGCTCCGCGCACCCAAGCTAGTAGATGTGTGGCCCAAACTAGTAGATTTGGGGGTGGGTTCGCGCGCCCAAACTAGTAGATTTGGGCAGGTTTTTCATGTCTACTATAGTAGATTCGAAGCCCAAACTAGTAGATTTGGAGGTGGTTTCGCGCACCCAAACTAGTAGATTTGGGGGGCTTGTTTTTTTTTCCTTTTCTATTTTATTATAGTAGATTTGCGGCCCAAGCTAGTAGATTTGGGTGTGGTTTCGCGCGCCCAAGCTAGTAGATTTGGGTAGGTTTTTCAAACCTACTATGATAGATTTGTGGCCCAAATTAGTAGATTTGGGGGTGTGTCCGCGCACCGAAACTAGTAGATTTGGGTAGGGTTTGTCAAATCTATTGCAGTAGATTTGAAGCCCAATCTAGTAGATTTGGGGTGGCCCCGCGCACCGAAACTAGTAGATTTAGCAAGGTTTTCTGATTCAAAGAGACTGGGGCCGCTGACTACCCAATAATATACCCAGCGACGGGGTTCCCCGGCCCGGGGGCGGCCCACTTTTCCAAAACTCTCCCCCCCCCCCGGGTACCCACTGTGTCCCTGGGGGTTTGGGACCCATTGGGAGCTTTTGGGGTCGCTTTCAGGGGGGCTCTCAAAACCCGAAGGCGCTCCCCAGACGGTCCAAGAAGGTTCCGGCACGGTCCAAAAGTATTCCATAGCGTCCGCGCTGGCTTCAAGACAGCCCAAGACGGCCCAAGAGCGCTCCAAGACGGCCCAAGAAGCCCCCAAGACGCCCCAAGAGGCCACCCCAGAGAGCCACAAGAAGCAAAAATCGTCCCATTCCTTTCGGAAAACGTACATTTATATTTTTTTAGCATATTCGCCTCTTGCGTGTTCACAACGTCCACGACGGCCCAAGAAGCTCCCAAGACGGCCCAGGAGGCCCCCAGGAGGGTTCCAAGACGGCCCAAGAAGTGCCCAAGACTGCCCAAGAGACCCCCTAGACAGCCCCAGAGAGCTTCAGGATAGGCCCCAGAGGGGTCCCAGAGCGGGACAACCAAGTTCAAATTTCGAGCCTTCGGCCCCCAGAGGCCCCCAGGAGGCCCCAAGAGGCCCCCAAGAGGGCCCCAAGAGGCCCCAAGAAGCCCAAAGGGGCCCCCAGGGGACCCGAAGAGGCCCCAAGAGGCCCGAAATCTGCCTCCAATACAACCCCGAGAGGCCTTCAAGATGCTTCCAATACGCTCCCCAAGAGGCCCCCAAAACCGCCTCCAAGATGCTCCAAAACGTTTACGTTTAAACACAAGTAATGGAGACCAACTGGTTTTTCATTTCATCGCTTCGCTCATTCCGCCGGCCCCCTGCTGGTGCGCTTGTGGAGCGCTCTGGGGGACTCCCGGGCTGCGCCCGGGCGGCTCCCGGGGTGAAAAACCATCTCTGGTCCGAGTCTCTCGGGACCTGGTCGGGACCTGGTCCGGGTACTTTTCGTCCGGGGACCCCCAGGGGCCGCCCCGCGCGCGCGAACTAGAAATATTGTTTACCA